TGTTCATAAAACTCGTTAAAATGAGGGGTTGGGGTGTTTTATTAAAAGGGGGTCGGGTTTAAAATTTAAAAAAATAGGTACCCGAGTCAGATATGCGGTCGCACTTTGCGACCGCAGAGATGAAATGCTGTCCGCAGAATGGACCGCAAAAGTGCTCCAAAAAATCCAATCCTACTGTTTGGGTCTGCGGCGGAAATGCGGTCCGCATACCCATTTTACGGTCGCATAATGCACCGCATTTTTGACCTCAAATTTGACTGACACATTGACTCACTTTGCGATAGAAATGCGGTCCGCATATCCGTTATGCGGTCGCATAATGGACTGCATTTTGACCTTAATTTTAACCAAACCACTGACTCAATCTGTGGCAGAAATGCGGTCCGCATACATGATTTGCGACCGCATTCTGGACCGCAAAATAACACTTTTCTGGAAAAACTTGGTTCTTTGATTTTTAAATACTTAGATCAGTACGATGGGTCCGACCCTGACACTACAAGCTACTATGTTTTGAGCACAAATTTTTTTACGGGGCCTTACAATTTCTAGGCGGAGTTGAATATGCAGAATTGTAACAATCCTATAGGCATGATTTCTATGTGTATTGAGTATGCAGAATTAGAATAGACCTATAGGCTTGATTTCTATATGTATTTGCATATGCAGAATTGCAATAGACCTATAGGCATAATTTTCTACATGTATTTGCATATGCAGAATTGTAATAGACCTATAGGCATGATTTTCTATATGTATTTGCATGCATAGTTACCCATCCCTTATTTTCACTAGCCAGCCCCAAAGTTTTATTACAACTTATTACAAACCAGAATGAATAAAATTACATCAAAAAAAAGTTAAAAAAAAGTACAACCAAAGGAGAGCCTGATTCAGACTTCCTGTCTAAATTATGAGTAGACCAACTCAAAGACCATTGATCCAAAGCCTTTCACCTATTTGAGTGTGTCAGAGTTCCCTATGAACCTTAATGGGACTCCGGGCAGTGCTTACACCCAAATTGTATCACCGGAGTAGGGGACAAGTGCAGTGTGGAAGTGCCGGCCCTCAAGTGTCCAAGTTCAGAGGGAACTCAAAGGGTCCCAAGGCAAGGCTCACAAGAGGGGGGCGGAACTTAAGTCTAAGAGAGAGTGCAAGTGAAGAAACAGAGTTTTAAAGAACTAAGAAAGTACAGAAAAGGGAGAAGGGGCTGGGAAACAGTCATAAACAAGTCATACAAAGGGTTCAGGGATTGGGGAAATTGCCAAAGAGCTTACGTACTTAGGCATTAGCTAATCCTGGGCATACACGGCAATAGAGAGTGCTGTTATGCTTACAGAATCAACAAGAATACACAACACATGATGGTGACATAGAGGTTATGATTCCAGGGGAATCAAGTTTGAACCATAGACAATAATATTTAATACTGTCATGCCCTAAACAAACCATTAATATCAAACACATTGGGGTATGGGGGTTTGGGATTCATAATAGGAGAAGATTATAGCATGCTAAAGTAAACGCTGAACTGAGCACAAACAGTAGGCAGACATGCAAGTAAAGGTATTAAAATAAACACATTGTTTGTGATTGCTGAAAATCTTAATCAGTACATACCAGTTTCAAGGAGGCAAAATATAGTAAAAGTAGTAGCAGGACTTTGAAAAACAGGCCACAGTACAAGTAACAAGAGAGAATGCTTTTTTTTTTAATGTGAGTGCGAGTTCAGAAAACTAAGAGTGTTCGTGTGTGTTGTGTTAATGAGAGTGCATGGCATTTATAGTTTGAAAACAGGTGCAGAAATAAGGCAAGAATCATAGTTTAGTAGTAATTATGGAATTATGTACCAATTAAAATCAATCAGTATATGGACTTCCTTTAATCAAGGAGTTAAAACCAAACGGTAATGGACAGAAATTATTTAAGGAAGGAGATCAAGTAAACGTCTTGTGCAAAGTAGACAATTGGGGGTAAATACATAGAGGTTTAATTAAGGGAAGAATTAATGAAAAATCTTTAAAATACACGGTTAACCAAATAAGGTAAGAAACACAATAAATAAATCAGCACATAGTAAATCAAGGAGTCAGGGATTCGAAGTTACAAATAAACCAAGTCAGAAATAGGAGAATCGAAAGGCTAAGGAAAGTTTTCAAATCAATCTAAGAAACAGGAAAATTAGTAAAACAAGGAAAGAATCTATCAGACTTACACAAGGAGGCCTGAAATCAGTTCACAATTAAGGGTTATTTTGAGAGGGAAATTTAGCATATAAAGAGTGCACAAACATTAGGCATGTGAGGTTAAACCATGGCAAAGAGAAGCAGCAATAATAATTACAAAGTCTGTAGATAGTGAAATATGGTAGTCACACAGGTCAACTTAGTAATAGGGAGAAGAGGGTATCAGAAGCATGCAAAAGAGTCAAGTAAAAGAACTTTCTGGAAAGTATAGTTTAGTTCAAAGATTGCAAGAAACCAAATCACATAGAGAAACAGAAGTTGAAACCAGGACTCTGAATCCAGTCGAGCAACTTCAAATAGACGAAGCAGTTTTCAGAAGCTCGAATAGGTCCAAGGGAATTAGGGCTTCGAAATCAAACAAATTCAGAGATGAGGAACAAGAAAATCGCATAGCAAACAGTCTCAAAACTCGAATGAACCCTAAATTTTAGGGTTTTCACCATCAATCGAGTATAGAGATGAAAGACAAGAGAATCAGGCAAAAATATCAACAAAGAGAATAAAATCAGAAACCTTAAGAAGAACTAAGACTTTTAACATAAAGAAACACAGCAGAAGAACAACATAAGAAACACAGTAGAAGAATCACCATAAGAAACACAATAGAAGAATCAACATAAGAAACACAGTAGAAGAACAACATAAGAAACACAGCAGAAGAACAACATAAGAAGCACAGTAGAACATGTTAAAAATCAGAAATGCTTTGAAATGACTTAACAGAACCCTAAATCGGAAAAGGTAAAGACTTTGAAGGTAAAGTTTTGGAAGAAACTTTGAGAAAATGTTTAAAAGCTTAGAGAAAAACACAGATATACAACGGATCTAAAAGAATCAGAAGAACCTCGAAGGCTAGGGTTTCAGAAGAACCCAGATGGTGAGAAAGGCTTGGAAAGTTATTGGTCTAAGCAGGAGAAGTCAAGATCAGGCTTGAACAGCCATGGCTGGCCGGAGCAAGGTCGGAGACAGCCATAGAACTTCGAATGAAACAAAGTCTGGGCCAAGCTTCTTCAAGGTTTGACCTCGAAACCATAGTAACCAGGAATGTAGGAGTCGTAGGAGGCAGGTACATGCCTTTAATGGCTTTGGAAGCCATGGATTCAGGTGATTTTAGGGTGGAAGTGGAGGGAGGCGGCTAGGGTTTCTGAGGGAGCTTGAGAGAATTGGGAGAAGGGGGAATTCAAGGGCGGCTGCAGGTGCAAAATGACTAGGGTTTGGGGGTAATGGGAAATTAAAAAAGGAAAGGTTAAATGGTGGCCGTTGATCATTGTGATCAGCGGCCTGGATTGAATAGGGATCCGGGCGGGTTATTTTTAAAAGGGTCGTGGGTCGGGTAGTTTAAAATTTGGGCTGGGTAATTGGGTTTTAGGATTGGGTTCAATTAGGTGCTAAATCAGGCTAAAATTGAAATGAAAATGGGTTAATATTTAAATAGCCATTTTTCCCTTGTTTATTTTATAAAAATAGTAAAATAATTTTTTGGGAATAAATTAAAAGTACTAAAATGATAAATAATACATAATTATTAAATAAAAAATATCGGAGTTAATTTTATAAATACAAACACGATTAAATCTTAAAATAGGCTAATATTGCAATTATATTCAATTTAGCTTTAAAAATACTAAGCATATTTACAAAAATGTGAAAATTATGTTAGCTATATTTTAGTATAGGTATGATAATCCAATAAATAAATCACGAAAATGATATTTTTTGGAGTAATTATTGGATTTTTCCTGATAAAAATAAAGCAATAAATTGAGTTAAAAATCTTTGAAAATTAGGGAAAAATAGTAAAACATTAGGACATGCTTATATATGCATATACAGGCTATTTTGAAGGTATTTTGCATATTGAAATATACAGGGAAAAATTGGGTATCAACACCTAGTAGGATTTCAACTCCTCTAAACCGAGCAAACTTCAGATTACAACCTATTGCAATCTAGGAACTAAAGTCTTAATCCCTCACACCTTATAATAACTCTATTGTAAGCCCTTTGTAATAACTCTATTACAAAGCGACAAACCTTGACTAACTCTAATCAATCTAGGAATTAAACTCTTAATTCCTCACCCTTTACAATAACTCTATTGTAAGTCCTTTGTAATAACTCTAATACAAAGCAACAAAACTTGACTAAGTCTAGTCAAGAAACTAAACCAAACAGTGGTTTATATCTGTCCTACAAAGACACTTCTTGAAAGTAGTGTAAGATTACAAATAAAGAACAAAATAACAAAGACTCAGCAAATTTAAGGACTTAAGATATCTTCAATTTTTGAATCTGGTCCTTGAGGTTGCAGCAGCTTTGTTCTTGAGAAAGGTGATGGCTAGCACTTGAGAGAATATTGTCTTTTGATTTGCAGGTGTTAAGGAGATGAGATCCCTTGCCTATGTTGATAATATGTGTGTGATGTCATCAAAGATGATGCAATAACGTGTTCTTTAGTTTGGCCTTAGCAAGCTACAACTGTGCTGCTGTACTGCTGCCAGATGGTACAGTTCAGCAGTCTGCCAGACGGTACAGTGCAATAGCTTTTACAACTCTAGAGTTGACTGCAGCACGACCAGGGAACTGATCCATATCTGTTCCCTCTATTGTTCCCTCTGCTGATCCCTTAACTAATTTCATTGAGAGTTGAACCAGACATCTGACTAGTTACTGTGGACGCAAAGGAACTAATTGTTTCGGGTTCCTTATCTGGTTCTCTCATGAAGTATGTCAAATCATCAAAACAAAAGGACATATAACTTATCAAAATAGTTTTAATTAGCAGGTGTCAGAAGAGGAAGTATAATGATCAGCGTGGCAGTAGAGATAATTAGACACGATGAATAGATCGTAGGCTTATGCGATGGCAAATTCCGAGAAGATGAAGTGTTTTAACGATGGCACGCATAACACGAACAGGTGATATAGAGTGTCCAGACTCCAGACCGTCCTCCATTTCTAAATCAAAGGAGATCTAGGACCAACTAAAGAACTCACCATCAGAATTAGACGAAATTGGACACATTTCCATCCGGTTGGAAACTTATTTTGATTAATAAGCCAAGGACGGATTGACAATGAAAATACACCAATCCTATTAATGATTTACACGCCCTTCTTAGTTCGTACAATACATAAATCTATATATATATATCCTCGCCTAGTTTCTTTTTTGCTTGTTGGAGTTTTTTCTTTCATTAGGTAATACCAATTTTAGGTATATATATTCCAAGTTCATTTTGTCCTCCTTTTGAACAGAATAGCTGCTATTATTGCCAATGGTTGCCATGGTGGATCAGATAAATATGGCTACTAGTATTCCCACGACCATGGTAGGCATACTGAGGGAGCTTTCCTGCAGCTTTCTGATAACAGAGAGGAACAACCATCTGCGGCTTTGCCATCGTCTGACGGACACAAATCTCATTATAATTAACTTGACCACGATACCTTGATGAAGTTACTGTAGTTGGAGGACTAGCTGCAGCTGTGGTACAAAATGACTTAGGCGAGCTGGCATCACAATTACTAGAAGTAGTGTTGGTGGTTGTAGATGATGAAGAAGCAGTGGAAGAAGGAGAAGAGACAACTTTTTTTGTGGATTTGGGTGGTGAAAGAAAAGCTCTGATCTTGAGGAAGGACGATGGTGATGCAGTCGCAGCACGATCATATTCTTCAATGAGATTGACGAGATCTTCATCAGAGGTGATTGACACAAGTGCATCCAAATCTTCTGTTGGCAATTGACACCTTAAACTACTCATTGCTCCACACATCTCCCTTAGCTTCACCATCAGCTCTGTAAATCAGACATCCCACATAAATCCCATTTTCTTAATAAATCTACTACTCCAATCCATAAATATTGCCAAGTAGAGTATTTGTGGACCTATGCCGAAATATTAGTATATATAACTAGAGAGCTTTATAAAGACAGTATATATTTATTTATAACAAAAATAATGCAATGACATTTTGCATCTATTGGCTAGCTTATTTGAACATTCCTTAATTGGTATCAACGAGTAGCAAGGCACACTTGAATAAATTAAAGAGGAAGAAATGGGTAATTTACCAGCAAAAGAAATGGAACGATGAACGGAAAGGACACGGGTATCGCCGCCATAATAACGGAGTTTGCCGTCAGGATGACGGGGAAGAATCTTGCCACCGTAGCTAGAGAGGAATTTGATGTTGGTGGACTTATTAAAGGGTAGTTTATGAGAGTTGATGGAAGTTCCAACCATGATATAATTGAACTGATAATGAAGATGGGTCCGTAAGAACAAGTGGGACACCTATGAAGAAAGAGGGAAGAGAGCTTTGAAGATGATTTTTACCCTAGTGACTTCTTCAAGCCTATGGAAGTTTCACTTCAGAACTCATTTATATACTTGTTTGAAGAGGCAGGGGAGAAGGGTGAGATTTCGGGCCGAGCCGGGCCGGATCGGATAAACTAGAAGTGAGACCCCACGCATATGTCAGCTAAGATCCCATACTTGTGGGCTTCAAATTTTCATTTTCGTTTATCTTTTCAAAAAGTGATGGCCATATCTTATACTCCTACACAAATATATTTTAAATTTAGAATAGGAGTATCGTTATTTATGCAGTCCCCTTCCCCGAATGTGGGTACGTCGAAACTGTTATGGCCTGACCTCTGGCTACATTGCCCGTTGGGTTCATATTATTGCAGGTTGACCAAAGCTTGTGATTTCATGGGATTAATTTTTGACAATTCTATTTTTATAGTAAACTCATATGAACATAAGCTTACCATTTGTTTTTATACAAATTTTTACTACATCAAAAGAAGGAAAGAGGAAGATGATGCAAGGTCACTCATAAGGTTTGAACGCTCTCACCAAGTGAGCTAACTCTCAACCTCAGAACGCAGGTTACCAAGTACGCAGGTTACCAAGTCTCATCTCACGCTAGTATTCCCTATTCGTTTCCACTATAATTTTTTACCTAGTTGCAACACTTCTCTACTAGTTAATTTTATGCACTACGAGAAATTGCATTTAAAAAGCAAGTAGTTTAGTTGAATTATCACGCGATATTTGTAATACTTGAAACAAAGATCCAAGGATTAGTAGAAAAGTTACACTGTAGGTTGTATTTGTAACTGATAAAAACTTAGATATTTCCTATAGTACCAAAGTAAGTGCGCAATTTCTCTTTGCAAGATCAAATAATGCTTGGTCTTATGTGAACGTTCACCCATATTATAAAAACAATGAATCTCAGTGGTTAAAGAAGCCTTCCACAAGAGCCAGCACACCTCATAAGTCATATCCTTATCTTGAATTAGTTCCCACTTTTATTACAAACAAATACTAGTAATAACTACAATACTCCGCTTTCATTATATTAAATTCAGTATCGACCTTTCCTAACAAGTCAATATCTCCTCTTGTCCATCACATAAATAAGATAGAAGTTAATAATACGGGTGAAATGAAATTTGTTATTTTCGTGCTCTGTACTATCATCAACCCAGTTTATGACCAAACCCTCGAGTCTTTTAATAATGTTTCTATTTTTGGTAAGAGAGTACTGACAAGTTTATACACGGAGAATACGACTATTTGGTTAGAATACAGTGTCCGCATTCATGAACTGGCCCCTATGCTCAAGGAATGGTCCGCTCCCATTTTTTTTTTGGGCAACAGTAGATTGTGATGGCAAGCCTACCAGTTGTCAAGATTTGATTGGCGGCAGCATGCTTGCAGTGTCAGTTACTATCTTTTTGTTGCAATATTCTCCATTTGCTTAGGGTGTTTATATTCCTTTAACCACCCGTAATTTCTTTCATCCTGTTTTATTTCAGAAATTCAATCTTTGCTTTTATATATCTACTATGTCGCTACGTTTAAAGCAGTGTATAAACACTAAATTTATATGTTATTAGCTGAAATGATATCTGATTTCCTTCGGCGGTTCGGCCAATCGATACTATTGACAATCTATTGCACTCAACTTACGAAGCAAACCAGAGAGACGATGAGAGGGAAAGGAAAATTATTGAGCTATCAATTGATTTTGAGGTACCCACTTGATGATCGATGGATTTTTCCTTCTCTGGTAGAGCACACACGGAAGAGATCTAAGAAGTGTAGTGAATACAAGGTATGCCATGGCCCGTGTGTTTATTTGGTTAAACGAGTTATGGGTCGATTTGTCGATATATTTAAAAAAAAATGGATCATTCATATTTTCTGATGGCTTTCTGTTTAATGAGTGGTATTTTTATAAAGGCGAAATATATAAACGGCCCTTTTATGTTGTCCTCAACGACCAGATAAACACCTCAATTGACCCAATTATCAATTACACACTTTATTTTAGACTGAAGTAAGACCTTATGAACACCTCATGCTGACATGGCAAAGTGTGTGTTTTATAGTCACATATGAGCGCGTGGAACCCTTAAAATCAACCTTTTTAAAAAAAAAAAATTTACTTTATGTGGTCCCCACTTACTTTCATTTCATCGTTCTCCTCCAAAATTTTCACTTTCAAACAATTTCCATGGCAGCCCAAATAGCAAGCCAATATAGGAAATATTGGTACTTCAAATTTTGTGCTTATGTCTCCTTTCAACCTCAAACTCCCGCTACCATCTCTACCATTGTTACTGCCGCCACCATAAGAACTCTGCTCACCTCCTCCTGTCCTCCACCACTACTTTAGCCGCCTCCACCACATATTAAAAAGCATACCAAAGACAAATCTTCAATCTATCTCCACCAGCTCCACCAACTGTTGATACGCCGGTATCATCTCTTTCTTCCGGTGCTTCTCCTCCATTCATCGCCACCGCTCCTTTGGTGGCGATTTGCTGCTGCTTTTGTCGGATCTGCTGTTGTAGCTGATTTGTTGCTGCTTTGGTGCTTTAAATCTCTGACATTCACGGGCTCTAATGTATATGTAGTTGTTATGATAATGAGCATCTATATATCCACCAAACAAATTTGGTATTATAGGAGTTGTCTATCAATTCAATTTTTTGGTCAGTCCGGTGAGACTCCATTACTGCCGGACTAGAACTCGTCGGGCGTGGGAAAGGGGTCAGATGATTATTTTTGTTTTAATTATGACAAATTACATGTGTCGTCCTTTAATTGGTTCATTTTAATACATCATTGGCAAGTGTAATTCACGCATGTGGTTTGCTGCACTTGAGTGTTTATTTGATACACTTAGCAGTCACTTGGAGTGTTTAATTGATAATTGGGTCAATTGAGGTGTTTATCTGGTCGTTGAGGACAACATAAAGGGGCCGTTTATATATTTCGCCTTTTATAAAGTTGGGTAACGGTGAGGATAGATGTGGCCTTATAGTATAACGAAGGCTACATGTGAACAATATACCAAAGTCGAGGGATATTTTTAGACCTTTTCCCCTTTGCAAAGTGTATTCTACCCAAACCCAATGTCTTGAAAAATACAATTTAGCCCAAACTGTAAATATTTATATTTTGCCAAAAATGGAAAGAAATCAAATTAGTTCCCTCCGAAACGCCCCTTTCCCCAACGTCCGGCGTGCCTAGTAGCACTTCCGACCAAATTTTCCCGTCGACTGAACTCAGATTTTACTTTATAGCTAGCAAATCTCAGCGCCCCAACCTTCTTCCATCCCCATTGTGGTATTATCTCACCTTCATCATTGCATTTCCTCATTTTTGCATCTGAAGAGAAAGATTTAAATTTTCGATTGAAGAGGTCGTTTTGTGAGTACACTATGTTGGCAATTCATTGTAAGACATATATTTTTCGACTTGCTCAGCTGGTAAATGGTAAAAAGCTCTCTATCATTGCGTCCGCCATTTTCAAAAATTTGATTCTGCTGTAACTTGTCATCGACCATTTCTGGTTTATTAGATTTATTCTATGTGCCAAATATGGGAGGTAATATCATAGTAGGTGGTGATTATACGGTTGAGTAGGTGGAGACTATAAAATGCTGGAAATAGTAGTCTAAGTCTACGTAGACATTAGCTATTGTTGTGTCTCGTAGTGATCCTGTACCAACTTGGTTGAGAGTGTAAATAAATGTGGTTAATTAAGATGTAAACATTGTTCTAACGATCCGACTGGTCGTTTTAAGATTTAAGGTTACGTTCAGTGGTTTGAGGTCTTGAGTAGCTTCCTCTTGGTATTATGTCTTACGAGCATGGTCTGATTTGAATTTCCGATGTTTCTGGATGAATTTGGATGAGTGATTCTCACTTTAGAAGCTGAAGTTAAAAATGTTAACTAAGCTTTGACTTTTGTAAAAACGATCTCGAAATAGTGTTTTGATGGCTCCGGTAGGTTTGTATCGTGATTTTGGACTTGGACGTATGCCCGGAATTGATTTCGGAGGTCCGTAGGTTGACTTATGTTGTTTTATCAAAAGTTGGCAATTTAAAGGCTTAGAATTTTGATAAGTTTGACCATAGGTTGACTTCATAGCTATCGTACTTGGATTTATGTTTCGGGACTTGGAATAAGTCTGTTTTGTAATTTGGATCTTGTTCGCAAAGTTTGGCGTCATTCAGAGTTAATTTGATAGGAATCAGACGCGCGGTTGTATTTTTAGAAGTTCTTGAGTTTCATGTTGAATTCATGTGTTTTGAGGCCGATTCGTAGTTTTGGATGTTATTTTGATGATTTGATCGCAGAGCGAGTTCGTGTTATATTTTTAGACTTGTGTTGATGTCTTGTTTGGAGCGCCGAGGGCTCAGGTGAGTTTGAGATGTGTTTCGGAGAGTTCATTGGAGGTTCAGATTTTTGTTGATGCTCAGATCTCGCAATAGCGAGAAATATGTCGCATTTGCGACTGTCGCATTTGCGAGCTTCATCATCGCATTTTCGAATAGCATAGTGGCCTGAAGAGTTCGCATTTGCAAACTCCCCATCGCATTTGCGATACTCGCCTGGGTTGGGCATTGGTCGCATTTGCGATTACTGTGATCGCTTTTGCAAATTATCATGTTCGCATTTGCGAACAAACTATCGCACTTGCAATAACAACATGGATGTGAGATTTTTCTCTTTTGCGATGGATCCTCGCATTTTCGGGGTTCGCAATTGCGACACCTGCAACTGGACAAAAAGCTGAAGGACACAATTTTTTGTCTCATTTTCATATTTTGGAACCCTAGACTCGGTAGGAGGCGATTTTGAAGAGAAATTTTCATCTACAAAATTTGGGTAAGTAATTATAATCTATTTCTAAACATATTCAATCAATATATCTTATATTTTAACATCAAAATCATGTGAATCAAAGTGAAAATTTGTGAAACTTTTGTCAAATTTTTGAAAAATAAAAATTTGAGTTTCGAGAGTCGATTTGGACCCGGATTTTGAAACTAGTTAC